AACTCCCGGCTGGCTAATCGAGTTTTTCAGAAAGTAGCTGCCGGCGGTCTAGGGTAAAATCGTGGAGGCAGTGCCGTCCCGACAGTTTCCCTCCGATGCCACCAGAGAAACCACCAACCTCTTTTTGAAAGGGCATGAGTGCATCCCAAACGTTTAGGAGATCCTCTTGTATCTCGTCGTGGTCACAGAGGCTGAAATTGTAGGTGGATCCCCGTGGTAAGTCGGCGATCTGAAGAAAGATGATCAAGCCACAAAAGACTGTGTAAGAAAAAGCCAAAGGTTAATTCTCCTGCACCGCTACGTGACCCGACGAGGCATGGAGGACAGATCTGAAGAGAGGGAGAAAAAAAAGCCACAAAAGACTGTGTAAGAAAAAGCCAAAGGTTAATTCTCCTGCACCGCTACGTGACCCGACGAGGCATGGAGGACAGATCTGAAGAGAGGGATGCCGGTGCCTCGGGAGCACTAGAAAAACTGGTTGGTTACCCTTGTGATTATCCATGGTGTCTTTACACGTTGTTTTTCTCCTGCTGGGCTTCAGATCGTTGCTGGCTTCATATATGTACCTGTACGCCTACGGAAATGAAGGTTTCCAATTCCATAACCGGGGCTTATTTGGACGTCTCATGCACTTCTTTCCAGAACTGTAAATAATTATTCAGACTTGAAGTTGTGTCACTGATTCGAAAAGAAAAACGGGATAATGAATAATAATCCAGACCCAAAACAAAACAGAAGAAACGAAAAAAACTCCACAACAGCCAATCTTGCATGAAACAAGGGTGAATAGCCCTCCCTGTAACTTCGTGGGGTCCACCTTCCACGTGGATTGTTGCAGTGACACGCGATTTTCTCTCAAAGTCGAGGCAAAACGCCTCAGGGCACTTGCAGATGGGCAGCCCAGGGGTGGACGCTCATACCCTCCATAACCTCCACAGTGAGGTCGCAGGGGCATCTCTAGTGCATCATTTTAACACGCAAGCACGGTGGCGGGGGGAGGGTAGTGGTCATTTCCCTGTGCCGCCTACAGCTTTCCCCGCTC